GGTTTTCCTCTCCTATCTCTTGCAGGTTTTTTATGTGGAGTCCCTTTTACTTCATGTAGCCTGTTTTTCTTTCAAATCTCTCTTGTAACCCTTCATTTCCCCTTGCTCCTCTTATCACTCCACTCTACCTGTTCCTCTGACCAACCCTTTCTCATACCCCTAACTCTCTCCCTCCCTCCCTCCCTCCTTCTGTCTCTGGTGTATTGAGGACTAAATCAGGTCCACTATGGCTGGCCCACACGCTCCACTACATCCTTTATGTTCCTAATGAGAGCAGAGCAGGAAATGGCAGCTCATCGCAATTATGCACTTAATTACATTAGACTATTTCTGGCACTTCCTGTATCCATAAGCTCAATGAATATGAACATTCCTCTTTTGTCCATACATTTTGGTTGTGGTGGCTGCCTGGGTAATTTCTGCACCCAGAACCAAATCAGTTAATGTGATGAGAGACAAGCGCATGGGTACCTTTGCTCTTAAGGTTATGGTATTTTTAGATGTATTTTTAAGCAACAATACAGTATTATTGATAGGGCTCTACCTGTATGACTAAAATGATTTGTTGTTGTTTTCCTTTCACGCTATGTCGGCAGACATTGATCAGGCTACGCTAGCATGGTTATTGTTTGGGCTATGAAACAGGAGACAGTCGTGTACATAAAGCACTGAGCAGATAGGTTGCAGGAGGACAGAGTTGGGTTGCAGGAGGACAGAGTTGGGTTGCAGGAGTAGGACAATGGGGTCTTATATTGTGGCGCTCCTCTCTCTTCCTCCAGCTGATTCCACTGGCACCCACTCCCTGTACACGGCCTACAGGGACTATGAGATTATGTTCCACGTGTCTACCCTGCTGCCCTACACACCCAACAACAAACAACAGGTAAGGAAGGGCTCCATGATATCACATAATAAATTAATATCTAAGTGACATGCTTTAGGATAACATGATATGCCATAGATGGATTCAATTATTAATCAAGTTTAATGCTGCCATGTAGAAGAATAGGATATTCATTGAGATAGTGTAATTCTTGTACGGTTATACCATGTTTGTCCTTGCTGTGTTGTAGTTGCTGAGGAAGAGACACATTGGGAATGACATCGTTACCATAGTGTTCCAGGAGCCGGGAGCGCTCCCCTTCACCCCCAAGACCATCCGCTCCCACTTCCAACACGTGTTCATCATCGTCCGTGTGCACAGCCCCTGCTCCGACAATACCTGCTACAGGTGAGTGTAAACCGTGTTCAGACCACTAGAGGGCTTGGCGGTCACTAACAACCTGGAAAGCCCCTGGTACTACTACAGTGGTTGTTTTGAACAACTCACCCAGGTAGATAACATAATGAGGAAAGAGAACCACCGGAAAGCATGGTCACAAACCCAGATAAAATCACTTGGGTAACTACTAGCTCTCATCTTTTCTCTCTGTAGCCAGGGTACTATAGGCAGGAGACTGTAGGCAGGGTACTATAGGCAGGGTACTGTAGGTAGGGAAATATAGGCAGGGTACTGTAGGCAGGGTACTATAGGCAGGGTACTGTAGGCAGGGTACTATAGGCAGGGTAATGTAGGCAGGGTACTGTAGGCAGGGTAATATAGGCAGGGTAATATAGGCAGGGTACTGTAGGCAGGGTACTGTAGGCAGGGTAATGTAGGCAGGGTACTGTAGGCAGGATACTATAAGCAGAGTACTGTAGACAGGGCACTGTTTATTTTATTTTATTTTACCTTTATTTAACTAGGCAAGTCAGTTAAGAACAAATTCTTATTTACAATGATGGCCTACAGCAGCCAAACCCGGACGACGCTGGGCCAATTGTGCGCCGCCCTATGGGACTCCCAGTCACGGCCGGTTGTGATACAGCCTGGAATCAAACCAGGGGGTCTGTAGTGACGCCTCAAGCACTGAGATGCAGTGCCTTAGACCGCTGCGCCACTCGGGAGCCCCAAGTGTAGGCAGGGTACTGTAGCCAGGGTACTGTAGGCAGGATACTATAGGTAGGGTACTGTAGGCAGGATACTATAGGCAGGGTACTGTAGGCAGGATACTGTAGCCAGGGTACTGTAGCCAGGGTACTGTAGGCAGGATAATATAGGCAGGGTACTGTAGGCAGGATACTATAGGCAGGGTACTGTAGGCAGGATACTGTAGCCAGGGCTCTGTAGGCAGGGTACTGTAGGCAGGATACTATAGGCAGGGTACTATAGGCAGGGTACTGTAGGCAGGATACTGTAGGCAGGATACTATAAGCAGGGTACTGTAGTCAGGGTTCTGTAGGCAGGGTACTGTAGCCAGGGTACTATAGGCAGGGTACTATAGGCAGGATACTATAGGCAGGGTACTATAGGCCAGGATTTTGTAGGCAGGGTACTGTAGGCAGGATACTATAGGCAGGGTACTGTAGGCAGGGTAATATAGGCAGGGTACTGTAGGCAGGGTACTTTAGCCAGGGTACTGTAGGCAGGGTACTATAGGCAGTATACTGTCGGCAGGGTACTGTAGGCAGGGTACTGTAGGTAGGATACTATATGCAGGATACTGTTGGCAGGGTACAGTAGGCAGGATACTGTAGGCAGGGTACTGTAGCCAGGGTTCTATAGGTAGAGTACTGTAGGCAGGGTACTATAGGCAGGATACTGTAGGTAGGATACTGTAGACAGGGTACTGTAGGCAGGATACTGTAGGCAGGGTACTGTAGCCAGGGTACTATAGGCAGGGGACTGTAGCTAGGGTACTGTAGGCAGGGTACTGTAGGCAGGGTACTGTAGCCAGGGTACTATTGGCAGGGTACTGTAGGCAGAGTACTGTAGCCAGGGTACTGTAGTCAGGGTTCTGTAGGCAGGGTACTGTAGCCAGGGTACTATAGGCAGGGTACTGTAGCCAGGGTTCTGTAGGCAGGGTACTGTAGCCAGGGTACTGTAGCCAGGGTACTATAGGCAGGATACTATAGGCAGGGTACTGTAGGCAGGGTACTGTAGCCAGGGTACTATAAGCAGGGTACTATAAGCAGGGGACTGTAGCTAGGGTACTGTAGCTAGGGTACTGTAGGCAGGGTACTATTGGCAGGGTACTGTAGCCAGGGTTCTGTAGGCAGGGTACTGTAGCCAGGGTACTATAGGCAGGGTACTATAGGCAGGATACTATAGGCAGGGTACTATAGGCCAGGATTTTGTAGGCAGGGTACTGTAGGCAGGATACTATAGGCAGGGTACTGTAGGCAGGGTAATATAGGCAGGGTACTGTAGGCAGGGTACTTTAGCCAGGGTACTTTAGCCAGGGTACTGTAGGCAGGGTACTATAGGCAGTATACTGTCGGCAGGGTACTGTAGGCAGGGTACTGTAGGTAGGATACTATATGCAGGATACTGTTGGCAGGGTACAGTAGGCAGGATACTGTAGGCAGGGTACTGTAGCCAGGGTTCTATAGGTAGAGTACTGTAGGCAGGGTACTATAGGCAGGATACTGTAGGTAGGATACTGTAGACAGGGTACTGTAGGCAGGATACTGTAGGCAGGGTACTGTAGCCAGGGTACTATAGGCAGGGGACTGTAGCTAGGGTACTGTAGGCAGGGTACTGTAGGCAGGGTACTGTAGCCAGGGTACTATTGGCAGGGTACTGTAGGCAGAGTACTGTAGCCAGGGTACTGTAGTCAGGGTTCTGTAGGCAGGGTACTGTAGCCAGGGTACTATAGGCAGGGTACTGTAGCCAGGGTTCTGTAGGCAGGGTACTGTAGGCAGGATACTATAGGCAGGGTACTGTAGGCAGGGTACTGTAGCCAGGGTACTATAAGCAGGGGACTGTAGCTAGGGTTCTATAGGCAGGGTACTATAGGCAGGGTACTATAGGCCAGGATACTATAGGCAGGGTAAAATAGGCAGGGTACTGTAGGCAGAGTACTGTAGCCAGGGCACTGTTTATTTAATTTAATTTAACCTTTATTTAACTAGGCAAGTCAGTTAAGAACAAATTCTTATTTACAATGATGGCCTACACCTGCCAAACCCGGACGACGCTGGGCCAATTGTGCGCCGCCCTATGGGACTCCCAGTCACGGCCGGTTGTGATACAGCCTGGAATCGAACCAGGGGGTCTGTAGTGACGCATCAAGCACTGAGATGCAGTGCCTTAGACCGCTGCGCCACTCGGGAGCCCCAAGTGTAGGCAGGGTACTGTAGCCAGGGTACTGTAGGCAGGATACTATAGGCAGGGTACTGTAGCCAGGATACTATAGGCAGGGTACTGTAGGCATGATACTATAGGCAGGGTACTGTAGGCAGGATACTGTAGCCAGGGTACTGTAGACAGGATACTATAAGCAGGGTACTGTAGCCAGGGTTCTGTAGTCAGGGTTCTGTAGGCAGGGTACTGTAGGCAGGGTACTATAGGCAGGGTACTATATGCCATGATACTGTTAGCAGGGTACTGTAGACAGGATAATGTAGGCAGGGTACTGTAGCCAGGGTTCTATAGGTAGAGTACTGTAGGCAGGGTACTATAGGCAGGATACTGTAGGTAGGATTCTATAGGCAGGATACTGTAGACAGGGTACTGTAGACAGGATACTGTAGGCAGGGTACTGTAGCCAGGGTACTATAGGCAGGGGACTGTAGCTAGGGTACTGTAGCTAGGGTACTGTAGGCAGGGTACTGTAGGCAGGGTACTGTAGCCAGGGTTCTATTGGCAGGGTACTGTAGGCAGGGTACTGTAGGCAGGGTACTGTAGCCAGGGTTCTATTGGCAGGGTACTGTAGGCAGGGTACTGTAGCCAGGGTACTGTAGCCAGGGTTCTGTAGGCAGGGTACTGTTGCCAGGGTACTATAGGCAGGGTACTATAGGCAGGATACTATAGGCAGGGTACTGTAGCCAGGGTACTGTAGTCAGGGTTCTGTAGGCAGGGTACTGTAGCCAGGGTACTATAGGCAGGGTACTATAGGCAGGGTACTATAGGCAGGATACTATAGGCAGGTTACTATAGGCCAGGATACTGTAGGCAGGGTACTGTAGGCAGGATACTATAGGCAGGATACTGTAGGCAGGGTAATATAGGCAGGGTACTGTAGCCAGGGTACTGTAGGCAGGGTACTATTGGCAGGATACTGTCGGCAGGGTACTGTAGGCAGGATACTATAGGCATGATACTATAGGCAGGGTAATATAGGCAGGGTACTGTTGGCAGGGTACTATAGGCAGCATACTGTAGGCAGGATACTGTAGGCAGGATACTGTAGGCAGGATACTGTAGGCAGGGTACTGTAGGCAGGGTAATGTAGGCAAGGGTGCTGTAGCCAGGGTACTTTAGGCAGAGTACTGTAGGCAGGGGACTGTAGGCAGGGTACTGTAGGCAGGATACTGTAGGCAGGGTACTATATGCAGGGTACTATAGGCAGGGTACTGTAGGCAGGGTACTGTAGGCAGAGTACTGTAGACAGGGTACTGTAGGCAGGATACTGTAGGCAGGGTACTATAGGCAGGGTACTATAGGCAGGGTAATATAGGCAGGGTACTGTAGGCAGGGTACTGTAGCCAGGGTACTGTAGGCAGGGTACTATAGGCAGGATACTGTAGGCGGGGTACTGTAGTCAGGGTTCTGTAGGCAGGGTACTGTAGCCAGGGTACTATAGGCAGGGTACTATAGGCAGGATACTATAGGCAGGGTACTATAGGCCAGGATACCGTTGGCAGGGTACTGTAGGTAGGATACTGTAGGCAGGGTACTGTAGCCAGGGTTCTATATGCAGAGTACTGTAGGCAGGGTACTATAGGCAGGATACTGTAGGTAGGATTCTATAGGCAGGATACTGTAGACAGGGTACTGTAGGCAGGATACTGTAGGCAGGGTACTATAGGCAGGGGACTGTAGCTAGGGTACTGTAGCTAGGGTACTGTAGGCAGGGTACTGTAGCCAGGGTTCTATTGGCAGGGTACTGTAGCCAGGGTACTGTAGCCAGGGTTCTGTAGGCAGGGTACTGTTGCCAGGGTACTATAGGCAGGGTACTATAGGCAGGATACTATAGGCAGGGTACTGTAGCCAGGGTACTGTAGTCAGGGTTCTGTAGGCAGGGTACTGTAGCCAGGGTACTATAGGCAGGGTACTATAGGCAGGGTACTATAGGCAGGATACCATAGGCAGGGTACTATGGGCCAGGATACTGTAGGCAGGGTACTGTAGGCAGGATACTATAGGCAGGGTACTGTAGGCAGGGTAATATAGGCAGGGTACTGT